CGAAGCGGAGAAATAAGATTTGCATTATTGATTGGGACCGGAAAGCAATTACCGTTTTCGTGCGACACAGACACGGTCGATCATGATTCCCCCGCGATAAGAGCCGGGCGTTGCGCGCCCCCTTAGACCACGTCGCTCAGGTTAATCGATTGCTTTCAATACCCGGCGTCTCGTGATTCCTGTTACAGCGAGTTAGCAGGTTCGAACGACCGGTGCGCGCCCGCGACATTTCGCGTTGCCCGCGAACGAAGAGACGCGCGCAGCCGGCTGCCGCTTGACAGGCTGTCGCTTGTCAAGTGACACACCGGCCGCCGAGACTCGCTTCACCGGCGCCGACCGACCCGGGGGAGGATATTATTCCACGCTTGTCATTTATGCCACGGGATCGGCCAAAGTATTATTTGAGAATTTGGGTCTCGAGATCGTTACGCGGCTGGAATCTTTCCGGCCGGGAAATGTAACGTGGCAGAAGAGAAGATGCGCGCGCTCGACGCTTCCTCGTTAAAATCGTAACGCGATCGTAATTGTCACAATTTTATTTGAATGTACAACCTTTGGAAATATAAATTCCAAATATAAAATAAAATCAGATGCAAAGCTTGGAGAAACTTGACAAAGTCATGACAATAGTGATATTAATCGGATCAATTACTATTATTATCACTCTGATTTCGTAGATTTCAAATTTTCATATTTCATTTTGTTTTGTGCAGTGTCGAGTGAATTTCCATCTTGAATTTACCCTTTGAAACATTAACATATTCGAGAGAAATTCCAAAAGTATCACGACAGGCTTGCTAAAATATCTTTAGTCTTCGATATGTGCGAATGTCGAATTATCGAAAATATCTTTAGGGGCTTTTGCGAAAAATATTGTTCAACAAGCGGCGCTTCTTCAGGAACGCGTTACACTCGCCGGTCCCCGCGGACGCGGTTGCGAAAATTCGCGGGAGTTGGCCGCTAATTCATCGACCGTGTTCAGCGCCTATAAAAGGCGCGGGCTCGGTACCGTTCGAGAATTTAATTCCATAGCTAGTGGATTGCGGGCTCTCTCTCGTGTATGCGGGTGGATGCTCTCGCGAACATGCAGACCTCGCGTTACCGGCCGGCCGACCACCGCCAGCACGTGCTGGCGCGCACCGCGCGGGATCGGTATGCTCGGGGTATATACTTAGCGAGTGCACCACGATAATGCGGTTGCAACATTTTAAGTGAGCACAAAAACAGAAAAAGGCGAGGCGACGGCGTACGCCCTCGCGTGCATTCACCCACCACTCGAGAGCGGATCGCGACTTTACTATTTGGACCGCGACCTTAGCGCGTTTCCGCCCCTTCTCTTCCTTACCTCTCCTCTTAATAGGCGTAATTGCGTAAACAAGCTCAATCTATTCTACCGCGTATTTCGCCGCGAGCGCGGCGCGTATTTATCCGCCGTCTTTATCGCGCACCGTTCTCGCAAACACGAGCGCGTCGCATTCGGATCCCCGCGGGGAGTCTTTCCTTCTTTATTATCGTCAAATTACAGAGCTTGTAATCGACTGGAGGGTGCACCGAAATCGATCGGATTTTATGCCCCTCCTCGGCGAAACTTCGGATCGCGATCGATCGCGTTTTTCGCAGGTCCTACGCGCGTTTGCGCGCAATTTCCTCGGAATATCCCGTGGTAATTAAGTTGCGGGATTAAAATAGCGCCGATCTCGTCGAGTTTGTCGATCTGCAAATTTCCCCGCGGCGTGCCTCTCGGTCTCGGTCTCTCTCTTTCTCTCTCTCTCTCTCTCTCGGTCTCTCTCTCTCTCTCTCTCTCTCTCTCTTTCTCCCTCGCTGTACCTCGCAGGTTTCGTTACTCCGCAACTTGATCGTACGACGAGGGTACGGTTCGACCTTACGACACGACGGGGTGCACAACACCTGTCGCGCGCGCGATCCGAGGGAAAAAATACCTCTCGCGTTCGCTGTTCCTCTCCTGTTCTCGCCTTCGCAACGTCTCGCTCTCGTTTGGCTCGCCGCATTTGGACAGAACATTTTCCGAGGACTGTACGATGCGTCCGCGAGTATGCGCCCGCGCGCGCGCGCGCGTCTTTGAATCGCGGTAGTGTGTCATTCTAAAAATAGAGAGAGGTTGAAACGAGAGGGAAGCCAAGACGCGAGAGAACGAGAGAGGCGGTAGGACGGCGGAGACGAGAAGGAAGGAGAGAAGAGAGGTAGAAGGAGACAGAGAGAAAAGGAGAGAGAGAGAGAGAGAGAGAGAGAGAGAGAGAGAGAGAGAGAGAGAGAGAGAGAGAGAGCGTGTATGCCTCCATAGTCTCGGTCGTGAACCCGAGGAACGACCTCGGTGAAACGTCGGGTGAAGAGAAACGAGCGAGAGAGAAAGAGAGAGAAAGATAGAGAGGGAAAGCGAGAAAGAAGCGAGCGGGTTAGACGAGCGGAGAGTGTTAAGAGGTGCAGAGAGAAGGCGAGGTGGAATCGCGGAGAGCGACGCGGACAAAGAGGGAGAAGAGATTAAATTGAACAGCGCGAAGACTCGCGCGCGACCGGCGAACGCAGCAGCGAAATCGACAGCGGCGGCAACGACGACTTAATAATTTCGCGGACGATTTCGGATATCGCGCCTCTCTCTCTCTCTCTCTCTCTCTCTTTTCCTCCCGAGGGTGGCGGGACACGCACGACGACAGAACGGCGCGGGCTCGCGGCCGCCACGCATCACTTTCTAATTTTGAAGTCGCGCCCGCGTTGGTTTACGACGGGACCGCGCACCGGCCACCCCGCCGCTCTGTTTATAAACTCTTACGGTGGGAGACGTATGTACGCGGCGGGCGCTGGAATTTGTCAAATTACCGGCGGGAGAGCGAGCGCACACACACACACACACACACACCGCCGTGTGTCTCTCGCATAAGCAGCCGGCGAGGAAAATTGATGAGGCGGCCGCTTATTCGGCGAAGGCATCAGGAAGCGTTCTCGAGATGTCGGTCGAGACGACGGCGGCGGGTGTGTTCTCCGCTGGAAATTTCGTGGCGCGGGTTCTGCGCGAGTCTCGCGAATACCAAATGGCAAACGCAATGGTTACGCGCGGCGGAAAAGACGGCTCGGCGCTATAAGGCGCTCCGCTCGCTGCGCTGCCGGGATCTTCGCGGGACTGCTGAAGAATTTTCTACCGCTTTCACGGCTCACGCTTTTCCAACCAAGTGTTTGCTGAACGGTTAAGCTACTTATTCCAACGTATTTTCGATACGCTGCATCGTTCGGGGTAAACATGTCGGAAAAACGCAGGGTCAGCACGCGCGAAGCGCTAACTGAAACGTTTCCTCGCCGCTGAACGCAAGTAATGTTTCTTCATTTAGTAGCTTCTCCATTTCCCCAACGATCGAGCCGAAGGTCTAGGAGATCTCAGAGCTGCGCGACGTCTCATCACTTTTCGATCCGGACTCGTGAGTCTGAGAGCTTTTCACGTCAGACTGGCCGATTGGATCTTCCTCCAATCGGCCGGCCAAAAGCGACGAGATCAGAGCCTGGAGTGAACTCTTTGAGAGTTTCGGATTTCATTTTGAGAGTACATTCCGCCGTGGGGCAGAAATTCGCTACATACGGAATGGCTAATAATAGGAGGTTGGCTTGCCGGCCAACAGCGCCGGTCTGTAGTCGTGACTGAGCTCCATAGAGGCGTAACTTCCGTTAATACCGCAGCCCTCGGACTTGCTGCTCTTGGTGGCACTCTCTCGGTGCCCCTCTGCACACATCCGCGTGAGAGAATTAAGGCGTACGACACATTCCGCTGCGGCGGCGCGGCGGTTTCCGCGATTTCGTAAGCGAGGCTAGGAATTCTCTCGTCTCGGCCACGAAGACGCGGACTAAAAGCGGCGGCCGAAAGCTCGCCGCTCCAAAATACGACGCTGCCATTTGCAGAGAGAGAGAGAGAGAGAGAGAGAGAGAGAGAGAGAGAGAGAGTCGCGGCAGGCGAGTCTGCGCGAATCGGCTGACCGCGAGGCGAGTTTTAATTCGACGATCAATCGACGACGATCGTCGTTGCTTCGCGTGACGCAGCGGAGAGATTGAAATTCTTCTCGCACGATCTCGTGCGAGAAGAATTTCTCGCTCTTTCTCTCATCGGCCATGTATCTCCCGATGTCTTCGAGGACGAGTTCCGGGCCGCGCTCCGGGGAATCGCATCGCGTCGGAGCCTCGATGGCAAATTTCGCCGCGCATTATTCGACTGACACGAGTTGCCTAACGAGCGCGGATTACGTATCTTCTCAGCCGTGATCTTGCGCGGACTTTATTTTGCATAACCATAAACCGGCGTTACTTCATCGCCATCGATGATGGTTCGCCGTGTGCGCGTCCCTGAAGAGCTTCCTTCGCGCGCCGATACGAGAGAGCCGGAGAAAGTCGAGCGTGTTAGGATCGCATGTGTGTATATGTATGTATGTGTGTGTGTGTGTGTGTGTGTGTGTGTGTGCCAAAGAGATGGATTAAAAAGATGTTGGTCGCGCTAAAACGAAGGTCACCGAATAAATTTCATCGAGACATCTCGGTGGCGCAATCACGGTGTGTCGTTTAAACAGCAGCAAATAGAGAAAAAGATGACAGATGCGAGGAAAAGTCGGGAGCGTCGGGAGGAGGAAAATGTCTGACGCCGGAAGATCGATCGATCGATCGCGCGAGATATCGCGCGATCTATAATTCCACTCGGCAATTTTCCGCGCGTCCCGAGAAACTTTTCCGCACATCCCGCGCTTTCTAGCTCTAACCTAGCGAAATTACACAGGCAACAACCGGTTGCTGCTCGCGCAGGCGTCATTTATCGATTCGACTTATTTCGCGTTCCCGTTGCCCAGTTTCGATCCTCCGCGATCTCACCTACTCAGATTCATGCGCTTTTCGTTCGCGCGTGCCGAGAAAGCTCGTTCTTCGCAAAGCTGACGGAGCTTCTCTCCTCGTAAGCGACGAGTTTTCAAGGATTACGCGCGCCTCCAACTAACACAGGTATCGTCGTGTTGCAGGTGCTCAGGGTGTGATCGCGCGAGGAGACACGATGGCGGAGGTGGCGACGAAGAAGTCCATCAATGTAGTAAGTAGCAAGAAGAGCGAGGTGTGCGGTGTTCAGTCTAACAACGGCTTGATTGATTTGGATAACCTAACCGCGAGTAACAAGCAACTAATCTCGCTGTGCGGCGACAACAACGATGACGACGACGACCTCGTGCTGACCAACAACAGCCGTAACGAGCTCGCCGGCGACGACAAGAGCCTGCAAGAGCTGATCGAGAGCGAGCTCGCGCTGAGGATCTGCTCCAACAAGAACGACGACGACGACGACGACGACGACGACGAGGTGGTCGCCGACGAGCCCGAGGAGATCGCCACGCAGCCGGAGACGATCCGGCGGATCGTGCTGGATCGCCGACAAGACAGCCTCGACGTGAACGCGGAGTTCATAGCGGCCGAGAGCGAGCACTACTCCCTGATCGAGGAGCCTTACGGCCAGCAGAACGGCCACGCGTCTCCGGACGCGAACGCGGAGGACGTGAAGCCGGAACCGCCGCTCCACGTCCGCGACGAACAGGAGGACGAACAGGTGTTGGTCGAGCAGCCGGAGCACGGCGACGCGACAGTCATTCAGAAGGCAAGCGACGCCGAGCCGCAGTCGAGCCGCGACGAGGTCGCGAACGACAGCGAAGACAACTGTGAGCACGTGAGCGTCGCCAAGGACGCCGATCCGCAGCCCACGGAGGTGCCGGACTCCGGCGAGGTCGCGCGCGACCTCGTCGCCGAGACCGTTTCTCAGCCAGAGCCTTCCCCGGCTCCCGTGGCTTGTCTCGACAAGCAGCGACAACAGGAGGAGGAGTCGGCGCAGAGGATGACGGACGACGCGGACCTCCTCCGCATGGACCGCACCGAGCAAGAGCGCAGGAACGCGGACGTCGTCCCGGACACGTTGCTCGAGCTGCCAGTGTCCGAGGACGGTGAACAGGCGTGTCAGTCGTTCCACCTGGACAACCTGGACCGAGAGATCAACGAACCCATCGGCGAAGGAGGTCCCGCGATCTCGACGTCGCTCGGCGTCGAAGACGAGGAGAAGGAGGCGGCGGCTGCGGCGGCGGCCTCGGCGGTCTCGCGAGACCGAGAAACGTCGCTCACCGAAGCAACGGATCAGGAGGCGGACTCGAAGCCGAGCGAGATGAAGCTCGAGGAAGACGGCTCCACGAGTCAGTCGGAGATGCTCGCCGAGACGGCCAGCACGCAGGAGTTCCTCGACACCGAGCGGCGCGTGCTGAGCGAGGAGGCCGATCAGGAAGCGCCGCGGATTGTCGTGTCGTCGGAGGCCACCGAGTCGCAGAGCGTGTCCGAGCGGAGCTTCGATAACGAGTCGGCGGAGTATGCCAAGGACGTCGCGGAGGACGCGCAGAACCCGGTGGACGAGTCCTCCAGCGAGTTCTCCGCGTCCGACTCGACTTTCATCGAGAAGACCGAGATCGTGGTGTCGGACACGAGCGTGACCGTGTTCTCCGAGACGAAGCAGCTCGAGCCGCTCGAGACCCTGGACTCGTGGACCACGGTCGAAGAGGCCACGAAACCGGCCTTCGACGGGGAACGGAAAGACGCGCCGGTCGCGGCCGATCACGCCGCCGCCGCCGCCGCCGCCGCCGCCGCCGCCGAGCCGACGGCGACGGACGATAGTCACGAGGGAAAGCCGGAAGACTCGCTCGCGCCCTCGTCACCCCGCGCTCCATTGGCCACGCCGGACGACGAGACCAGCGACATTTCTAACGCCTGCGATGTAAGTGTGCTTTTTCACGTGTTTTAATCCGACGGTCACGCCCACAATCACGAGCGGCACGGCGCAGCAGGAGCTCGGCGAGCGCGCGACTCGAGATGCGAGTCGACGTCCTTGCGCTCGCAGTCGGCCCGGATGAGTTCCTCGCGAGAGTCTGCAGGCCGAGGGCCTCGACAAGCCAAGTATCGTTTTCGCGCTTGTTTTCCGTGTGTCGACTAATTCGACTGACCGATTAATCTATCCACTGACGATCTTAGCCCTTCGTCCCCGGCGACCTTTCTCCTGTTTTCAAAAAAGCCATTTTTTTTCTCTATTTGTACGATCATTAGGAATGTCAAAAATAGTCATTATTAGGTGAGAAAAAACTCGACTCCATAATGCCGAAATTAATTATTATTATTATCCAAGTATATATCACTGTGGTATATCATTGGAGCCCTTTTCACATTAAATGCACACAATACATGCAACGTACAATAGGAAAGAAAAATTGTTTCTTGGAAAATCCTGTAAGGGTGGGAGAACGCCCTTATTGATTTTCTTCCTTCAATGTCGATCTCGGTCGCGAAGAAGCGTCAGTTGATGGCCGCTCTCGGTCGTCGACTCGTCGTTTTTCACGGCCGAGGTGTTGCTCGACGCAGAGGTTTCCTTCGAGACACGAATTGCCGGGTGAATTGTCGAGCGGAAGACAATTGAAAGAGCGCGTCGTTAACGTCCGACGTTACGTCAGAGTGATGGGTGGGTACCTTGAAATTGAGAGGGCCGTTTGTGCTTTCGACGCTTTCGAAGCTTCCCTAACGCGGGACGTCTTCGGACGGCGCGCGCTCGCACCGCACGTTACCCAAGAGAGAGAGAGAGAGAGAGAGGGGGGGGAGAGAGAGAGAGAGAGAGAGAGAGAGAGAAATACAAGTGCCATAATTTAACAGCGCTCAGGTTGTTTGTGTTGGGTGATTCTTGTAAGCGCATTGTGGACTCGCAGTCCTCCTAGCAATTTCTGCAAGACTAATTGCACCATCGCTCTATGTACTCCTACGCATGTTTTTCCACGTCGGGGCGATTAATCTCGTTTACTTTTCTCCTTCTTTCTTCTCCCCTTTAGCAGCGCGGGTCTGCAGGTAAGCGATTCGCGGTAAGAACCCGCGTGCCAGCGGCATCTGCATAATAGGGTACTCTCTCTCTCTCTCTCTCTCTCTCTCTCTCTCTCTCTCTCTCTCTCTCTCGCTCCCTCTCGCGTCGATGCGCCCAAGTTTAGCGAATTTAGCACCATTCGTGTTTTTTGTACGTGACGAAAGGATTACACCGCAGCTGATGTACTCGTCCGGTAGAAGACCGCGCCCGCGATCAGTTTTATATATTTTGCGACTAGATGTTCGCGAGAAATAGATTCAGCTCGGCGATCGAAACTTCTCTTCTCTTACCCCTCCCCCCTCCCCCCCCCCAGTTCGCAAGAGACAAATCTTTGAGTATCATGCGGCGAAATTTCAGTTGGGACTCGAAAGGGGAGATTTATTTACAGCGATGAATGAAGGGACTGTCACTCGGCGTCGCGAGAGCGAGTGTTTCAATCGATTCGATTGAATTTGTTCCTGCGACGATATGGCTAATACTCACTTTGAGATTTCCTAATGGAGATATTCTATGAGTCAGAGCGGAGTGAGATTCACTCTGTACGAGCGAAATGTCAGTCAACTTGAAGAGTGTGACTCGGCTGTCACGCTACTTTTCGAGTGGAATTTTACTCGAGGAAGTTTAGAGAGAGAGAGAGAGAGAGAGAGAGAGAGAGAGAGAGAGAAAGAGGGAACCAACGGTTAATTCCGTCCTCCTCCCCTGACCCCTCCACACATGATCGGCCGCTTGAGCGTATCCGCGCGATCGCGACCACACTACGTAATATATTCAACGTGTCTCTCGCTACAAGTCATTATTCGCAAAACCCAAGCCGTATTATCCGCCTTCATCTCTCCGATAACCTCAGAGCAGTGCGCAGCACCCTCCCGTGATCAGCGGCGCGTGACGAGCGCTCGCGTCAACGAATCTCATGCAAATGCATCGCAGAGTCGCAACGGAAACCGGCTTATCGCCACGGATTTTCCTATCAGCTGGCGCAACGTATTTATCAATTGTCGCTGGTTCAACGACACTCCGACACGCCGCGCCGCCTCGAGCCGAAATTGACAAACGGTGCTCGGAAGAAAGATAGATAGAGAGAGAGAGAAAGAGAAAGAGAGAGAGAGAGAGAGAGAGAGAGAGAGAGAGGCGATCTATCAATTCGAACCGGTGATTCATGCTCGTATGAGCTATGGTCCCAATAATTTCCTCCTCCCTCTCTCTCTCTCCCTCTCTCTGTCTGTCTGTCTGTCTGTCTGTCTCTCTCTCTCTCTCTCTCTTTCTGTACTACACTCTTTCGATAAGAAAAGGGAAAAGAAAGCAACGATCGATCCTTGGTACTTGAAAGTCGCGCGAAGGAGAAGCGATGGGAGGAGCAGGACGATAAATCGGCGAAAAAGCTTCAAAGCCGACCGACCGACTTCTCGACGGAAGACGACCAAGGCCACGTCCTCGTCTCTCGAGCGGAATGCCCAGACGGATGTTACTGGTTAAGGGCCCTACCGCGAGATCGAGGCCGCGTCAAAGTCGCTGACGTGAACGCGAACGCGGAGCGACGGCGGCGGCGGCGGCGACGGCGGCGGCGGCGGCAGAAGCGGCCAATCCTCTCGAGCCGCTCGCACCTGGAACTCGCTTCCCGGCTCGGTTCTGCTGGACGAGCAGAACGGCACCTCCACGAGAGAGGTGCTCTCGTACCTGGCCGAGAGCGACCAACCGGCTGCACGTGGCCGCTGGAAGCGGCCAATCGGCGGCGGCGGGAAGCGCACGCCGCTTTGTGAAGAGCGTCGAGTTTCCTGAACCCGTTACGAAACACTCTCCTCCACGGGAGAGGAGACCGCTCGCCGGCCGCTCAGACATCTCTGCGCGGTCCGCCAGCGCGGTGCTCACATCCACGTCCACGTCCACGTCCTCGTGCCGCGTCCCGAACGACTTCCAACGAGGATGATCATTGACCAGGTACGACCTGGACGCGCGGTCACTGCGGCAGCTTGTGCGACCCACCTGGTGCCGCAGGTCACGGGTAGACGCGAGCTCGAGGGAGGCGCACCAGACGACACGGTCGTTGAGCAAGAACATTCGCCTTTTTTCTTCGGTCCCTCCTTGTAGTCGTGTTCCTTCTCTCTGTCTCCGTCTCTGTCTCGGTCTCGCTCTACCTCTCTTCTCTCTGTCGCTCTCTCGCTGTGGGATCCTCTCTCTTTCTATCCAACGGCTGTTTCCAACGACTTGGACTCTCTGTCTTTACTCCGCTCCCACTCTCGCTTCGGACGTCGACCACCTCGCTTGCACCTGAAGCTCGGCTGGCTCTTCCTCTCTCTCTCCTTCTGTTCTTCGTCGGCTTTCGTCGACCTCGTTGCCAAGGTGGACGCGCGTCCGTCATTCTGAGTGCGTGGCCGGTGTTGGTGCTAGAGAGGCTGCTCGCGGGCTAACGTCTCGCAGAGTCCGCGGACTGTTTCGCGGTGATACAAGCTGTGCGGGCCAGCACTGGTGGTGTGTTTCGAGTGAGGTGAAGAGAGGTCGCGGTGGGTTCGCTGTCGCGAAGGAGAAAGTAACCGGGGGTGAGTACGGCGCCGGAGGAGAACGCCGCGCCGGAAGGAGCCAGGAACTAGCGGTTCCTCGCTGAGCGAGAGAACGATCGGAGGCGGGAGCGCGCTCGCCAGTGCGAAACCTTGCTTTTGCACACTTGGCAGGAAACGCGCGCGCGCGCGCGCGCACAAAACAATCACGAAGGGGAGAGTGCGGAGTGCGCACGGTGAAATATCGAACGGTCGAGCCGGGGAAATTGCGGGCTGCGATTGTTCGGAAGAAGGACCTTGGGACGATTGGAAAGTGCGCGGCGGAATGATCCTCGGGCGGCGACGCGGCGGTTCGCGAAGCAGGTTCTCGCGCGAGCACTTGGAATCGCTGCAAATGCGCGAGCATTCGAGGCGTAATGCACTTTGGCGACCGAGTGAATCAAGCACACGAGGAGTTATCGCGTTATCCTCTTTCTCTCTCTCTCTCTCTCTCTCTCTCTCTCTCTCTCTCTCTCTCGCCGATCTTGCCGCCGAGGAAGAGCCGACCCGGTTCGTGGCAAAATGGAAAAGAGAGGGGAATCCGCCTTGGTGACATTTTCTTTTCACTCAGGCTGCCGTCGCAAATAATCCTACGGCGAGTTTCGCTATCCCCGATCGGCCGATTATCGGTGGAAATCTTCGCATTACATTAACCGCGCGCGATAACGCGGAACAAGCGTGCGCGTGCGCTCGTCGCTGAAGCGCGACCGCGCGCATCCGCGCGCTCGCTCGAACGAAACCGCGTGTCTTCGTGCAGGAAAGTAAATAAATGTCCGCATGCATGCGCAACGAGGAAGAGAGAGAGAGAGAGAGAGAGAGAGAGAGAGCCGGGGGGACTCGAGTCGTGTGGTGGCGCGGCGCGCGCGATTTCACGTCGCCAGATAATTAATAGTTGAACGCGCGCCGGCTCTCTCGGCGAGATTACGAGAGCTCGCTCGCTCGCTCGCTCGCACGCGCGTGCATTATGTCACGCTCCGCGCTACGCGAGAGCGCGGCTCATATACGTTCCGGAATATTGCTTTCCGCGCGCGCGGGCTTATCGGAAATCTTCCTTGTCGGCCGGTCATACTTGTCGAGCAATTACGCCGCCGCGCATAAATCGAGCCGGGACTATGAAAAGCCGTCGCTTCTTATCAGCCTCCGTGATAGCTCGCGCTCGCGAGCGCCCGGTCGTCTTTACGTTCGGAACGGATTCGCGAGCGTGCTCGCCGCGTCCGACGGCCGAACGCCGAGGATTAGAAGGCAGACACGTTTCTTCTCTCTCTCTCTCTCTCTCTCTCTCTCTCCCTCTCTCTCTCTCTCTCTCTCTCCTTAATCTTGTTCTTATCATCCCGTTCGGCCCGCAGTTTCGTCGGCGATGATGATTGTTATTCAACGTTGCGTCAGCGTTTTATCGCGCAACGCGCCGATTCGGAGTTTTACCGCGGATCCCCGGCAGCTGGACCGAGGAACACGTAGGCGAGAGGGCGAGACGTTTTAATTGCGCGGCGTGCAATATCGGGCCAGTTCCGGCCGCCTGGTGAAACCGTATGATTAAACGAATATTCCGGCTGAAATCTCGTCTTTTCAACGCGCGCGGACCATCTCGCGTTACGCACGCGCTGACGCGCATCGTCTCGAGCAAGAGTCGTCGTCGTCGTCGTCGTCGTCGTTCCTACATTCACGCGCGAGTACTGGGCTCGTCGAGAGATGGACGGCGAGATGCGCGCGACTCGCAACGGGATATTTAATAAACAAATGGCGCGTTGCGCGCTCGAGCGAATCTTCGCGCGCGAAGCCCGCGAAGCGATGTCCGCGCACTTTTCGCGTCTTTACTCTCGGCGGCGCGGCCGCAAGATCGCTGCGGCTCGTGCAATCGCACGACGGTCGCTGAAATCATTATTATACCGGGCGTAGTGTGTGTGCTCGAATCGCTGGGAAAGCTCGCGATTGCGCGGCACACTTGGCGCGCGACGCGCGAGAAGCAAGACGTCGCGCGGACGACTTCCGGCCGCGGAAAAAGCGCGCGAGGAAATGCCGGGCGAGCCGGGCGGTGGGGCGTTGCTGCTGAAAACCGCACGCGATTCATTAGCGTCTCTTTAGCACGCTTTCTACCTCGTATTTTCTGCATATTAAGCCCGCGAGAGACTCTGCCGCAGCCTCCCCCCTTCCCCCCGGCCCCTCCGTCGTCCCACGGTGAGGAGAGGCTTTTTTGCAACAGGAAACAGATTTCTTGCGGAGATCCCTTGCGCACAAAGAGAATACACGCATTCCGCGGCGAAGAATCGCGGCTCGGTGGGACGTTGATAGGGAGAGGGAAGGGGGGGCAGGTTAATCGGGGCGGCGTGCTAATTACCGTCCACCCGCGGTGCCGCGGGTGCACCTTTACGCCGCGCCGCGCGCGGCGAGCGACCGAAGGCGATTACGTCACAACACGGTGAAATCAATATTATTTCCTGCAAATCACGTTTGTCGAGCGAGCGTAAACTTCCGTGTGTCCCGGGGCACCGCAGAGAGACCGCACACACATTTCAGTCTCGGCCCGCCATAAAATCCATTGAGCCTCGGCGCGGCGCACAATGGCGGCACGCTGAATCTAGTTCTCTCGGGGGGCTTTTATATTCCTTTCCAGGGGACGAGCGTGCGCGCGCGAGCGCCCACCTACGGTGGTCACGAAGGAGGCCCGTTGTCTCTCCGACGGGAGAAACTGCCGGATCGCTGTTTTAGGTCACTCGTTTCCGAACGTGAGCGCGGAAAAGCGAGCGGAGCCGCGCGTGAGACAAAGAGCGAAGGTGGAGAGGGAGAAGGAGGAAAACTTTAGAGGGGGCAGGGGCCATTGTCTTCCGGATATTTCGGATTTTATGTGATAAAGCTTCATCGCGTGTTTCGTTTGATCGCAGAGCGAGAGCCGCGAGGAAACGGTGACCACCAGCTCCACCGTGGTGACCTCCTCGAAGGGCGGGACTAAAACGAAGAAGAAGAAGATCGAGGGCGTCGCTAGTAACGATGCCACCTCGCCGAACCTTACGCCGCGCACAAAGAAAACCAAGAAGAGCAAGAAGAGCGATCTCGAGAAGGAGAACATCTCCGTGGTGAGTTATAAATCATCGATGGGCATAAACGCGCGCGCGCGCGCGCGCGCGCGCGAGAGAGAGAGAGAGAGAGAGAGAGTATGTGTGGCCACGCGCGTGTGTGTAGGCGTGTGTACGGGATGTCCCGCAGCCACATCCTTTCATCTATCCTCTAGTCGTCTCGGTCGGCGACGATTCCCCTCCCCCCCCCTTCCCCTCGGCCCGAAAGAAAGTCCGGCTGGACGTGTCGAAGCGAAAAATCCGATTTGAATAACGCCTCGCGCCGAAGATTAACGCGTTACGAAATATGTCAATTATCCAGATAACGGGTTCGAGCCGACGTACGTTGTGGTACGTTGGACTACATGAGAAGCGTAATAATATAACGTAATAAAGGCGCCTCTTTAGGCTTGTTGTTGCTGAGGATCAGGATCGAGTTAATAGAAAAGAACGGGTCGATTTGTTCCTGTAGGCTGAGCGCCCCGAAAGAGGCTGCGAAGACTACATCTGGAAAGGACGGCTATAGGTGTTATAGGTGTTCCTCGGGTCTCCTTATCTAGCTTCGAGCTTCGCTCCTGTTGGAAAATGATAACATAGCCGCTCGTGGAAGGAGATGGCATAGCATGTCTTTAAAATCTAGTCTTTAAAGCTCTCATAAAAGAAGGCGCGTTTGTGCGTATTCTAGTATACATATATACATGTACATGTATATACATATACATATATATATATATATATATACGTCTTTTATATTCTTAAATATTTATTCAAGCAGTTATTTATATTACAAGGATCTCAGTATCGGTACGCTACACACAATGATCGCCACTTGATTGATTTTCAACGAGTGTATACTGTGACAGGCAAGATAGCCTTAATACATGATGTAATTAGGTTACTTAGTTTCTAGACGTTGACGGGTCAAGCTATTACACTGAGACGGATTACTGCTTTGACATGTCGCTCCCGCTCCTTCGAATAATCAATAAATAATGAGGATCAATAATATATAGTTAGAACATTCTAATAACCCGGTTATACGTCGATGTGTTAAGGCTATTCTGCCGGTTGACGTGTATAGAAGCCTAACGGCCGATCTGACCTTCACTAAAAATATGACAAGTAATCTCAAATCGAGGCGCATGTATCTTGGATCGCGCGCTATGGTTGACTCTTTATGGACACAACGGCGAAATTTTTTTCCTATTAATTTGGATTATACGTTCTACGTAACTTAATGAGACGGGTCAACATCAGTCATCGCTGACCAGCGTGACATTTAACGCGCTGAAAAAAGGCAGAAAAGAGGAAAAGCAAAATCCAAGTGACTTCCCTGACGTCAGTCGCGCTTTCAAACCGTGTCAGACGTGCCCTCATCCTCATTTATCGACGTAACGACGTTACTATCGAACCAACGAAAGAACGGCGAACAATCGAATGAGAAGTCCTTCTTAACCCTTAAAAAGCTACCGTCAAATATCAACTGACTAAATTTTCTTGTTACATTTGTGACAAAATATCTGCGAGAATCGATCTGTTTTATCATAATGTCGTCGCTACTGACAGTGAGTAAATACCTATAAAATCAGTATTGTCGATACGGTTAGGTTCAAAAATGCGTACGGGGTGAAATTTCAGTAGCCCTTAAGGGTTAAGAACTGACCAAAGACCGGAAGACCTGTTCAGCCAAATTGAATCGGATCTTTGGTCCTTTTCCCTCCGACGCTATATCACCGCGAAAAGTCCAACCTCTCCAACAGAGCAGATTACAAGCAACAAGCCTAAAGAATCCGCGGCATAAGTTTGGCGGGATAAGAGCCGGCGGACCACATTCCGGGACATCCTGTAAGTGTCACACGCGCACTGTGCGATTACTCGCTCGCGAGCGCGAATATGTGTCAACGTGCGCGCACGCGTGCATCGATTCCTTTCATCCCCGATAAACGAGCGATTTGCGCGGCTATCATCAGCCAGCGTAATTGAAGGCGGTCCGCAGCTGAGCGGCGCGAGAGACACGCCGGTGTAAAATCAGCGTGCATGGAACCGTTATCACGTTAATTAGCACTTTGCTCGGTTAGTCGACGCCGACGCCGACGCTGCCACCGACGGGCGCGTCGGCGTCGGCGTCGGCGTCGGCGTCGGCGGTGAAAACCGGAAGCTCGCTCTTTTCGTCCCTCATCTGCATGCAGCTCCGCTTGATCCGGCCGGCTTTTCCGGATCGTCGGCACAGATAGGAGCGGGTTTTCTACTGCCTGTCGCTTCGCGGAATCGCGATCTGATACGCGATCGCGACCGATATCGGTGCGCTGCTAAGTAGAGCACGCATGCGTGCGTGCGTGCGTGCGTGTGAACGGGCGATATCGAGATCGAGATGCTCTCTCCTAGCGACACTTCCTTCTGCCGCGACAACACACCACCGGCGGCGGCTCTTGCTTCTCGCGAATCTTCGGCTACGGCCGACGCCGCATCGCTCGGGAAGGAAGCAATCCAGCGGCATGATGCAAAGATTGCTCATTCCGCGCAGCTCGTTATCCGACAGGATAATATCCGAGTCTGCTGTCGCGCACGCCGGATTGCCGGCTCGGGTGATTTACGTTTCAAGCGCGGACCTCTCGCGCCTCGCCTCGCCTCGTCGTCGCGCGTCGTCCTTTCCTTTTTTTCTCTCGATTTCGCGATCGACTCGTTTTTGCGCGATACCGTTTAATTGCGAACGACCCGTTGCGGAATCGAGCGAGGAGTCCACCGAGGACGGGAAGCGCGGGCAATATCCTCGCGGCAACGCACACGCGTACACACACGCACGGCGGTTTTATTTCAATTAAGAGATAATCATCATCGAGCCTCGCGTCTCGTCTCACAAAGTGGCGCATGGTACGAAATGATCGATGCTCCGCGCGATCGCAAGCGGAACGCGACTCTCCCGCTTGCGCGCCGAAGCCGTCTCTGTCTTGTCTTCATCGTCGCTCGCACACTCCCCGTGTGTGCGAACGGTTCTTTTACGTACGATAATTATTTGCCGCTTTTTCGCACATTCTGTACCACCGTCACCATCACCCCGCCATCACCGCCGCCGTCACCATCGCCATCATCGCCATCATCACCACCACCACCACCACCACCACCACCACCATCACCGCCGCCGCCGCCGCCGCGACTAACGACGCAAATTCGCGTAGACGCGAGCGCGCACATTAATCACTCGTTGCATGTGTGCTCAGTGTGTTTGTGTTTTTTCTTTTTTTTCCCCCCATTCAGAACTGTAGTTTACGTGACGCAAGCATGCACACGGGTACTCGGCGCACGCACTCGGAGATGATCGATTTCTCCGACGAGGACGATCTATCGAACGTCAACGTCAAGTCCCTGGTAAGTTGCTGCCCAAATGCTACAGCCTTGACTAACCCCCGGAGACTAACCCGAGCGCGTGCGATGCGATTATTGCACGGCCTCCCCCTCCCCCCGCGATGAATTGTTTTCAATTCGCGGCGAATGCGACTCTCGCGTTCGTCTGTCGGACCTTTGTCTGTCTGCTCTTTTCTTCTGGCTTTTCTTCCCTTTTCGTCGCCCTCGCGCCGACAATTTATCGCGCGGGTTGCACGCCGTTCGACATTTCACGCGGGTCCCCGACTAGAAATTTATCCCACGGTCCTGATCAGGTTAACCTCATTTGGACATCAGGTCCCAATAAGGTCCCGATACTATCCTAGGGTCCTAGTAAGTCATGCAACGCAGCGTGGATATCAGGACCTTAGTAAGGATTCGTAGTCAGGTCCTTGTTGAGTTACCTTGTAGAACCCTTATTACGTCTTTTTTTTCAAATTATGGCTCCTGATTACTCGCCACGGCTATATTGGATGATAACATTAGAAATAAGAAATGACACGCTGAAAATTCTTTCATGTCATTTCCAAATAGAAAGGTATTTGCATGAAATAATATTTTAGATCGCATACTTGAGCATACTTGTAAAATGTTTCGGAAAAGAAACATAAAATGAATATCATAAGATGATAAAATGATGTCACAAGGTGACAAAGTGGTGTTAGAGAGAAAAGTTGCGTGTCACGTTAACGTTTTACAACTACTTATCGACTGCTAAAAAAAGGATAGTTTCTATAGCATTTTACAAATATATTCAAGTGATCCGAAGCGTTTTTTCAATGCAAACATCTTTGTATTTGGAAATGACATCCAAAAGTTGTTTTGTTAAAACTTGATAATGCAAATCATATTAGGTACAATGAATAAGATCCCGACAAGGACCTAATCAACTGAACCATATTATATCATACATCACTAGGTCGGTTTACATTTGGGTCCTAATGTGGACCCAATCATTATAACCTTATAAAGGTCTTGCTTACTCATTAGGTCGTTAGGACACTATAAGGACTGATTTACTTAGGATTACCTTTCATCCTTTCCGACCCTATTAGGTCGTCTTATCAATGTTAGGTGAACCTGATCAAAATTTCTAGTCGGGTCTTACGCAACAACCGTGTCCCTCCACCCTTCTCGCCTGCTCATCTGCTTCCTTCGCAATTTTTCCGTCTCATTCCAGCTCTTCCCTCCGAGCCTCCTTCCTCGCGCATTGTTGCGTATATGTTGATGCGAGTATCGTTCTCCCGACCGATGAATCGCGTGCGCGAGATTTATCCCGCCGGCCGTTCACCTCGAGCTGATCTGCTAGACGCGACTCCGCGGAGATAATGGTCGGCGCGGCTCTAAATAATTAGCGGCGGGTGCAGCTGACGTACGACACCGCTCCATTAAGCAATTAAAAGTTACCTGCGTAGCGCGCCGCCTGATTAAGCCCTTCGCTCTCGAGCACGCTCTTCGCGCGAGCGCGGGCGGAATGGTGTCGTCACTTTCGGGAATTGCTTGCGTGACAGGCGAACGACAGGCGTCGATTGAACGAGTGCGTCAACGAGCGAATGTTCAAACCGCACTTGAGTTTTACTCGGTCGGCTCTTCTCCTCGCGTTTTTCCCCGTTCAGTCGATAGATAAATATAGACTCGTCGAAATGGTCGAAGCAGATCGGGACTGTACGCGTCGAAAATGAACAAAAATCCTCCTATGGAGTTTCATTGAAAGTTCGCGGAGCGAGTTCGCGTCCGCTCGCTCAAACCTTAATCGGCTCGGCAAGGTGTTAATCTCTAATTTCGCGTAAGCAGAACCGGACGATCAGCCGAAAAGCGGCGAGTAACGACTCGCGGGACGTGAAAATAAATGCTGGCGATAGGAAGCAAGCAAGTTCTTGCAAGCTCTTTCAATGGACGGATATAGATTCGAAAAGTCGACGGAGAAAGAAAGAGAGACAAGAAGAGATGAGATAGGAAAACGCACGCGAAAGACTTCATCACGCGTTGTCGTCGTCGTCGTCGTCGTCGTCGTCGTCGTCGTCATCGTCGTCGTCGTCGCATGCACAACTAACTCGCCTGCATTTTGTGTCTTTTCTTTTTGCGCATGCAGACACAGAACTATGTCACGGAGACGAGTCGTAGCGATCAGGAGAAGCTGTGCAGGCAACGCATCGCGACCGGCGTGTCCATCAAGCAATTAGTAAGTAATGACCACTCGCGGACTACATTCGCGCTTATTACGCACGCTGAAGTACGCGAGAGGAAGATGCTTCTCGCGCCCGATGAGAGCCTCCTTTCCGTAGATTGTGGACGAGACGAAAGGGGTCCCTCTTTCTCTCTCTCTCTCTCTCTCTCTCTCTCTCTCTCCCTCTCTCCCTCTCTCCCTCTTTTTCCGGTCATTCCTCTTATTTTTAGTTTCTCGTTTTTTTTTTGTTATTTTATTAGTTCTTCCCTTATCGATAAGATCGACGATAATTTTACACGCTTTCGCCGCAAGAATCCGCTTCGATAATAATAGCTGATACATTTGTCCGATGTATTTTGTCACTAACAGTGTCGCAGCTTTGGCGACATCTCGAACATGAGCGACAGCGATCAGACAGCTTTCGGGAAAGCGAATCACGCGATGGAAACCGAGGAGGTTTGTATAAACACCTTATATTTCATCTCGTTCGCGTTGCGCGTCCGAGCGCTTTTTCTTCTTGTTCTTCTTCTTCTTCTTCTTCTTCTTCTTCTTGTGTATTCGTTGTGTTTGCATCGGATTAGTCTTGTAGTTGACGATGATAATGGCCGGTCTAGTGGGCATGTAAGTTTGGACTTTTGGAATGCTCGTGCCCGTTTTCTTTCGTTTTTTTTTCTTTTCTTTCTTTCTCGACGTGAATTAAAAATGTGAACTAGAAATTCACGAGCGATTCAGTGTTCCTCGAATTGTTTTTGCGAGGCTAATCCGCTAATTCGTAGTAACGTAGCCGAGAGGCGTTGAGATCGTTGCGCTGCACGGGCAGAATTCGCGAGCATGCGAATGCTTATTAACGATGTCGCAAATTGTGCTTTCCGGCGCAACGTGTGCGACAGCGAGGAGATACGCATTACTTAACCTTGTGGTTATTGCATGAGCCACTTCCGACGTGGTTTGCTTCATCCGACGTGGCGATATTGCTGCTCGAATCTCGACTCGGGACGCAGTCAATTCTAAATAGCGTGCTAATATACGTAGAGCGTGAGTTCTGTGAGGCCGGTGAGTTCCGGTGATTACACGCGATGCAAATTGCCTACGAAGAAACGACACGCGTCACTTTCATCCGCCCGCGAGACGCGACCGAGCTCTGATCGACGAATCGGCAAGGAAGCAGCAGCGAGCGCGGTCGGGGCTGTCAGAAAAATCGAGAGAGAAATTACACGCGTGTTCAATTTCGCGGGCGAATTCCAAGGCGAATCATCGATCGGATTCGCGAGAAGAAGCTTCTCAGAGAGGCGCGACTGTCGAATTTTTCGTCTCGCCGACTAGATGACTCTCTCTCTCCGTCAGCCCCCCCCCACCTCCCTCATTATCGCTTGCGACCGATATATTTCACAGAGCTCACGTCTCTCGAGACTGATCCACGACACTCACAGCGCTAATCTGAATTCTCGTTGACGCTCTCGCCGCTCGTAGAAAGCAAGGTCGATGGGTGATCTGAGAGTATGCGAGCAGGGTTACTCGAGGTTCACCAAAGACGCGCTCGTCTTCGCCGGGGTGTCGGTCAAGGCCCTCGTAAGTACCCTTCGTACACGACGCACGGACAACATTGGAGTCAGCCAAGCGACAACGCGATGCACCGTCCGCTCGCCCGCCCGCCTGCCTGCCTGCCTGCCTAACGAAACTTGAATTTTATCGGGGCCCGCGATCGGCAATTTCTCCCAGTCGGGAGTAACGATCTATAAAAGCCCCTCTCGGTGGGCGTGTAATTGTTTTATCCTACGGTGTCCGGGGGAGGAGGGAGGGGAGGGGAGGGGAGGGCGGTCGATCATTTACCGCGGCTCGCATTAATCGCGACTCGGCGCGCGCAAAAAAGCCACGGATATCGCGCGGCCTACCGCCGCGTGGTCGATTCATAACGCTCGATCGTCGGCGATCGTTCGCGCGAAACGACTCTCGCCCTTTTCCGGACTCGCAGCGCCGGTCCGGAGACTCCAGCGTCAAGAGCGTCTGCCAAGGGCTGACGCAGCCCTCGGCAGGAAATAATCAACGGCAGGCGCGAAAGACGGTTGTCGATGCAAATCTTACGGCACTCGTTCCCCTCGCTCGTTTCCCGATCGCCCACCGCGCCGTGTTAAGACCCAGTCCGGTTTCCAAATTTCAAACAAGGCCCGGACTAACTTTGTCGGATCCGGCACGTAATAAGGTGTGAAACGCGCTGCTAAATAATGCCCTGATAAAATTGCCTGAAATCGAGAGACCCGATCTGATGTCCATCGGGACGCCAAATCAGGCATCCAAATAATGACGTCACCGCTGCAGTCAGGATATAATCCGGAAAATATTGCAGAGACAATCGCCACGTTCCGACCGTGCAGGAAGGATCACTCGTAATACCTTCTTATGCCTTGCCTAGTCATGCCCCATATCAGGCATAAAAGATTTCTTCGATTTCTTTGATTTCTGCTCGGGCGTTCGCGATCACCGAAACTGTTGCCGCTCGACTGTTCACGTTCGGTTCTGGAACTGCTCAATTTGAGGAAAATGAGATTCTCGCTCTTTTTCGGAGGGTGCCGCCCTAAAGCCCGTTTCTTATTTTCCGCGTAAACGGGAGTCTGTGATTTTTCTCTCTTTCTCGTCGACGATTGAATGACGTGACGTGGTGGCGAATATCCTCTCGGGATATCCCAATGGGAGAGCGTCGGAGAATGTTTCGACGGAGGACCTCGGCGGAGTACAGTGAGAATCAGGCTTAACTCTCCAGCGTTTCTCGCGAGTCGAGCGGAAAGCGACGTCCTCACGCGAGGGAGACGAATTTCGGTGATATCTCCCTGAACGAGCGAGTACTCGGTCAAGTACACACCGCTACGTACTCCGAGGACTCACTCGCGCACGTACGCAGGCAAGCAGGCAGGCGGAGTAGTTCACCGTCACGCCGTGAATGCCGTCTCTCCATTTATGGAAGGGCCGGACTTGATAATAACCCATTGCTTATTTGCCCTACTTCGGCGGCCGGCCGGCCGGCCGGGAATCGGGCTCTCCGGGCTCGGCGATTACGAGTTTTTGCCACGAGTATTCACGTCGATTATCGCTTATCCGGTTATCAGGATTTCGATGGGCGCATTTTGCCGCGCTCGTTGTCGGCGACCGCGCCGGCCCGGTGTGTCTCGCCGTGAAATTTCGCGAGTTCGTCGTCGGCGGCGGCTTCAAAGGCGAAGTGGAAAGCGGGAAAAGCGGGTCAGGCTTGCGAATCGACGAAGCGTCGGGGGAAAACCTCGCGAGCGCGGCCGCAGAGCCGCCGTAAAGCTGTCAGAACGTTCATTTTTCTGATCGGGAACTCGAGAGACGAGATAACTGCGCGCGGTCGCCCGTCGAACCGAGAACACGAGGTGGACGAATTATTGCGTAAATCTTCCGAGACATTAATAATAATTCGCAAGGTGGACAATAGAGAGGTTAATCGTCTATAAATATTCTTAATCGATACTTAGCGATACCCGATAACTCGAATTAATAATAAACGGATGAATGACAAAGTTCGAGAATATATATCTCTCAAGGTTTCAGCTATTTCAGCTGCCAGAAACACGTTCGCTTTGACCGGCAACTCGAGGGACGAGATAACTGCGCAAATTCTTGCGCAAATATTCTGAGACGTTAACAATAAATGGTGACGGTAACTGGTCTATTTATGGATGTCATCTTAATCAACATATCTATCGATGCTTGATACCTCCAGTTAATATCTATTAATAATAAATAGAAAAATGGCGAAAAATGGAGATTTTCGAGGATACACGTTTCTCAAAAGATACTCAAGTTTTATTTATAGGAACACGGTACTCTCTGCGAGGTAATTTTTACCGCGCTCAATCTCCATCGAGCGTTCTTCTCTCCCGAGGTATTATCCGAAAATCTCGCACGGCTGATGCTAGGTGAAAAAAGTTCCTCTCGTTCCAATTAAAAGGGAAAGGCCGGCGGATTCGGTAATCGGATCGTTAACTCGCGGCATAAAGGTATCGCGTTAATGGCGCGTTCGCGCCGAAAGATCGACGGTATCGTCCCTGTTAAACGCTCGCGATCGTATCGCTGCGCGTCGAAGAAAGCGCGCGCGCGCGCGCTCCTCGGACGGTGCCGAAACGAAAGGCGGCGAATCAGGCCCGAGAGAAAGGGAGGAAGGGCATTCGCGGTGCGGAATGATCGTCCCGGCGGATAATTTCACGCTACTGCCAATGTTGTCCTCTGTCGCGCGTTTTGTTCGCCCTCCACCCTCCAATCCTGCGCCGATGCAGCAGTCGGCGAGGCTTCGCTCGGCGAGGCTTCACTCGGCGATTTGAACGTCTCGCACCCCGACGACCTAGAACAGCCGCGCATTCTCTCTCTCTCTCTCTCTCTCTCTCTCTCTCTCTCACTCCTGCTCGACCGCGACTGTAATCGGGGATAACTCGGAGAAATCGAAGAAAAATAATTTCCCGCGCCGAAGATGACACCAAGATTCGACTTTCCCAGTTCTCGTCACGGATAAAAAGAGACCGGACGCGTGCAACAATGCAGTGTCCTCGGGACAAAAAGCATTCGCGCAGAGTCCTCTGCGCGGAATTGCCTCCCACTTGGTCGTTTCGCCACGAGGAAAACGCGTAATGCCTACGTTTTATCGCACGACGCACGACGAAGGAACGTGCGCTCAGGCTAAGGGGAGGGGCGGGGGAGAGGAGAGAATTAATATTCTCGGACGTAAATATTAGCGGAGCGACCGCGGGCGGACGACCACCTTCGACGACATCGTTGTCGTCTTCGTCGTCGTCGTTGTCGTCGTCGTCGTCGTCGTCGTCGTCGTCGTCGCGCATACGACGTCGTCCTCAGCCGAGCGCGAGGCGGCGAAGGAGCTAGCCGCAAATTACGGCTTTGAAATTTCCGGCCGCGCCGACGAGACACCGTAACCGCGCGCGCGCGCGCGCGGAATATTGCGAGTCCGCTAACTGCTGCATCCCCGGCAGAGTTTTACTCTGCCATACCATATCATCCTCCTCCGCCTCCTTCCTCGCTCACTCCTCTCGCCTGTATCTCCGAGCATCCGAGCGTTTTACGACCACGAATACGATACTAACCCGCGACCCGTTTCTTCTCTTTGTTGTTTCGACGCTACCCATATCCGGCATGCGAAACCCTAATTGACAATCTGAAACTGAAACCGACCTCGGGACAGAGGGCTTCCTACTGTAGTTTGGCAAGCTTGTCGAGCGAGGGTAAGGACAAGGAGCGGGCGTGCGAGAGGCCGAAGCTCGAGGTAAGACCACGACGAAGGGAGGATGGCGCGCGCGTGCGAGTGCGCGTGCGCGGTCGTCAGGTTCGTACAGAGGTTTGACTTGGCCCTTCCGAGTTTGCGATTGCCTTCGCTGCCTTTAGAACGAGAGAAATACGCCGCGTGTATGCGCTTCAGCTTTTCCAGCCTGCGACTCATTTGCTCGCTTTTTCAGACCTTTGTACGATCTCGGAGAGTAAACGCCACCACCCCCGCGCGCAAACCGGAGATCGCGACGCGCGGAGGAGCGCGGCGGAGTCGCGCGCGCTGAGGAATGGAGCTTCGTTTCTTCCGCAATTGTGCGATAACACAATTCATCACAGTTCATCAGGAGGAGGCCTGCATATTTCACACTAGAGGGGGCTCCGGCGGTCCCGCCGCCCGCGCGCGCCGGCGTGAAACTCCGTTTTGCGCGCGGGACGTATCGGCTCTTTGAATCTGCTTGTGATTCTCCTGTCTTTGCCCGGCAACCAACTTCACCTTGCATCGTTCTTATTTCAAAGTTACTTTGGGGGATGCGAGAGTGGACTTTTTTTCTGCTCGGTCAGTCAGATTAGACGACGACGAAATGTTTGCCTGCGGAACGAACGTTCTTCGCGTTCTTCTCTTTCTCCCTTTTCATTCTGGCCCCCCTCGCCCGGAGGCACAGTGTCGAGTTTACCTGACACGAGCGCTGTTTGTACTTGCAGAAATCGAGCTTCAACAAATTCGACGCTCTCACCAAGAAGACTGTCCTGCACGTGCGCTCGGTCGACGCCGGGAAGGTGCAACAACAGCTGAACGCCGTAAGTTCTCTCTCTCTCTCTCTCTCTCTCTCTCTTACTCGCTGTAGCGCTCTTTATACGAGAAACCTCCCCAAGACCGTTCGCCTCCTTTCGGGCTAATCAAGACCGGCATTCATAGAGCCGGATCTCGCATGCTCGAGGTCGTCTTAAGTTCATCTTCAGACCCCGCGCGGGTCGTTTCGTCGGAGTATCCGAGGCTGAAACTTAATCCCTTAGCTGTCAATGACGGAAACATCCGCGGAGAGAAAAATGGTCCAAACCATTGTTGGCGACAGAAATATCCGCGCATTCGAAAGAGAAAAAAACACTTATAATGGAGTAATTAGAGCAGGACGCTATACAAGTTGTAAGGAACGCGCGCGCGCGCGCGCGCGCGGGGAGGGGGGGGGATATTTCCGTCATTAACAGCTAAGGGGTCAAAAGGCGACCTCAAGTGCAAGAAAGTACCGTCGTCTTCGGGAAGACTTTCGGATTATCACGTTGCCTCGCCGGCGAGGCGAGACGTGACGATTCGCTAAATCGCGCGCGCCCGAGATATTCGAACTCGCATCCTGCGGGACGCGAGTTGGGCCGCGCCGGCTGCTTCTTCTTCTAACGGGAGAGCCGGCGCTGAAGGCGGCAGCCCGGCGAGCGTTAATTAATCGGCGCGTTTGCGCGTGCTGCAGGTGGGTCAGAACGGCGAGGCGAACACGAATTGTCGCAGCTGCGGCAAGGTCGTGTTCCAAATGGAGCAGACAAAGGCCGAGGGTCTGGTCTGGCACAAGAATTGCTTCCGGTGCGTGCAGTGCAGCAAGCAGCTTAACGTGGACAATTACGAGAGCCACGAGAGCACGCTCTACTGTAAGCCACACTTCAAGGAGCTCTTCCAACCGAAACCGGTCGAAGAGTCCGACCAGCCCGGTAAGATGATTACCGTCTCGCGCAACAGCGTATATACGCCGCGCGTCGCGACGCGACCGCTAATCCGCTTAAACGGATCGTCTTTGCGAGTTACTCGAGCTTGGATCTCCAAGCTCGGAGATACTCGAAGCGAGCAACGTCGATATCGCCGTCGGCCCAGTCGCCGCGCTAATCTCGCCGGAGCTGGGTTTGCGCGCGAGCGAGGGATAAATTTGCGCGAGTGCGTAGACGGTACCGCGACGAACGCCGCCGACTCGGCGGCGGGTAAAAGCGCGAGAAAGTGAAGAGGTGTGAAGCGTGTTTGTCGGCGATCGCGATTAGAACGCCCCGTCTGATTGAACCCAGCCGCGTTCTTCGGCCGTACGAGTCCGCGTATCGCATCTCGCATCGCTATATAATTAAACTACATACACACAGAGAGAGAGAGAGAGAGAGAGGAAAAAGCGAGAGTGTCGTTCTCGGCGCGCACTTTTCGCGTCGGTTCGTTGTTCAGAAGAAGCCATTACGCGCGTCAAAAGTCAATTATCGACGACCAATCTCGAGGGTGAAATGAAAAGATGAGAGAGAGCTCACGCTGCTTATTCCGCGATATAATAGCGAAAAGTGAACTCGTTGTAACGAGAGAAGATTCTTAACGAATCTGTTTCGAACGACGTCACGCAGCGCACTCGCCAAAAAGATGAAAATGATTACTCGGCTGTAATATGTCTCGCCGCGCGATTACAGCCGCACGACCCGGAAATTTTTCTCTCAGTGTGCGAAACGACCTGACGATGCCGTGCCCGTAAAACACGGCTGCCTAGGACGATCGAAGACACGTCGCGCCCCTCCTGCCCCCCAACGTAGACGCGACACTGTCTAATGAGATCCCAGCGCGCGCGGGGATCCCCGAGCGTAGAGCGAGTCTGCCGGAGGTCTGCTCGTTCTCGAAGAACTTTCAAACTGTCGCGAGTAAGTTAGAGCGTAAAAGAAGATGTACTCGCTTCATTCCCGCTTATAGCAGCAGTTGAGAGGTTCTCCGAAAACGAGCAGACCTCGCGCGCGGTTCTAGCGCGTCGAGTCGCACACAGCTCGGATCGCCGGAGATCGATGGTCTCGGTGGGCCTCACAGGATCCCACTTTATTAGACCCACTCTTAGCGCAGAGGCGAAAATGACAGGATCCTCCTCTTTCCCAGCCGTGTAATCGCGCCGCGCTCGCTCGCTCGCTCGTCCGCGAGAGAAGAGGAGAGGTATCGTTAATGCGACAAAGAGTTGTCTTGTAAACTCCGCAGTGCGACCTCGAAAGCCGGAGCTGATCATACGGGAGAACGAGCCGAAAGAGCTGCCGCCCGACGTGGTCAGAGGTAACGTCGCTCGACGTTGGTTCGTTGCTTCGTTGGTCGTGTGTGAGTGTGAGTGTGCTGGCATGGAACGCAATTCCCAGAGGGGACCGTTCCTAACGCTGTGTGTGTGTGTGTGTGTGTGTGTGTGTGTGTGCTCGTTTGAAGAGTGGCTTTTTTAACCGCCGTCGGCCGCGTTAGCCGCCGATCGCGAGCGCGTGTTAAGTCATGTCGCACGTCCCCGCATTAACAGGCCGATTATAATAAGTAAGAAAACACGAGGCGCGTTGGTGCGTTAAACGCGCGTTCGCGATCGCGGGCCCTGCCTTATTTGCGACGAGCGACCGCCGAGGGCGGTCTCTCTCCGCTCTACGCGATTTTAATTGCGACTGTGCATTCTGCGAAACGCGTGTGCGGTGTGTCGCAACCGCGGATCAGATCGCGAGCGCGCGCGAGCCGTGAAAGAGCTGTGCCGAGATTGAGCGGTTCTCTCGCGGTTTAATGCACGGTGCACTTATTTCGACTCGCGTCGAACCGGTCTCGGTCCGGACTCGCGCCGGGTTAGAGTTCATTTCTCGCGTTTGCGCGACGCGAGGCGCGATGGTTGCTGTTTACTCGGGGACGGTAACGGTGCATTCAATTCACACGGGGCAGCTTTGTTTACTCATCTCGATATGTACGTATACTGTATCTGATCCCGCGTAGCTTCTTCTCCAGTTTGCTCCATGTCGAGACATGGAACAGTCTCGGAGAGATCTGTTGTTTGCCCGACGAGCAACGGATCTCTCGAATCGCCGCGAAATCGACCGTGAGAACAGGCAACGGGGCCGCGCTAAAAGTTCAACAATCGACTGACGCCCGCGAATTACGCGTGAAATTTTGTGCTCATTTGCGCGCACAGTCAGCCTCGTCCATCCGTGATAATTCGTCTGTCGCGAAGCGGCAACAAACGACCGATGATATCTCGTCGCGCGCGCGCGGTTTCGAATGCCGCGTATTCGGCTCGCGTTCGACTACGCTATCGTGTCCGAAGGAGGATCGAGCGACTCTCTCTCTCGCCGACATGGGCGAACTTTCCGACGAGTCTCCTTCACCTTCGACGCTTTTTAGAATTCTGTGTCGTGTGCAACTTCGCCTACATCTGCCCGCGCGCGCGCGCGCGCGATCGGCAGTCTAACAAATTTACCGGAGAGAGTGTGCCCAAATGTTTAAACAGCGACGAGAAAGAGGCAGGTGGAGGTGGAAGGGGGAAAGAGCATCACAGGAGACGCAAGGAGATACCCCCTTTCTCTCTGAATTTCAGCTTCCGACAAGCCAGATCTGGGACTCGAGGAGCTCTCGAGCCTGAACGTCAAGTCGCGCTTCCAGGTCTTCGAGAAAGCCAGCGCGGAGAACGCCAATGAGATCGAGAGGTCGCCGTCGCAGATCGCCGTCAAGAGATCGCCCAGCATCCTCAGCAAACTGGCCAAGTGAGCGCGATCGAATTTGTGATATTCGCGGAAATCCTCGCTCGTGCGGAATGTTGCTTCGCGTGCACTAAGCTGTAATTCGAATCGCGTCGAATCCCCGACCGTGTAAAGACCTGCCCCCTCCCCCTTCCCCGGAGTATACGATAATTCCAAACCGCGATATCTTGCCGTGACACGGCATCCGGATCTGCGGAATGCGCGATGAGGAGAGTCTGTAAGTCAACGACAGTCAACGTTCGTCTTAGTAGACGGCGAAGTTCTCGCGACGTTTGGACTTTCGTACGGAGGATCGCAGCGAGTTACAGCTTGAGCATTAGCGAGAGCCGAGATGAAAATTGAGCGATCAGCGATACCGCCAAAGGAGGGGAGGGGGAAACTCGACGAAAGACACTTGGTCTGTTCGTTTTACCTGCACTGCTGAACTGGTGCAACAAGTCGGAGTCGGAGAAAAAAATATAGTCGTCTCGCACTTAAACTTATTGCACTAGTTGAACGAACAGACCGATTGTTGAACGCTGCTGATGACGATCGGTCAACCTCGGCCGCTTCGCTCGCTGAAGGCGTCTTCAGAGAATCTCAGGGGGTTCGCTCAAATCGTTCCCTTGAGAATAATCTAACACGAAAGGGAGACGTTCCGTCGCGTTGGGAACTTCATCAGGCCCGTGGCGGTATTCAACAGTCAGCAGTTCTCGTCTCGTGACGTGAAACCCGAGAAAACGCGCGAGCATGTTGGAACCGCATCATAGCGGAGTTTAGTCGATAGTCGCTCGATACGATGAGTCTCTTAACCAGCGCTGTGCGCGTTTTCTCATGCAGGTTTCAGGCCAAAGGTATGGACATTGGCGTGGCGGACGAGTCCCTCAATGGAATACCCTACGAGGAGTCCAGCGAGAGCGAGGACGAGGTAGAGACGGAGGAGACCGAAGGTAGGCTGATCGACAAGATATTTCGCGGTAATAAAGGAGACTTGGAATTGGTATTGACTGGAAACGAAATATCTTGAGCAAACTTTTGCCACACCTTGCGAACGAGACTGTATCTGTCTTCCCGAATTTCAGAGGTGGAGACCGAGATCGTGAAGGCGAAACGCACGACGCGCGAGCGTCCGATCAGTTTCTCCAAGATGGACGACATCAAGAACCGTTGGGAGTCCACTAGCCAGCAGGGCAGGCGCGAGGTGCAGCGCGAGGCTAGGAAGGAAGAAATCGCGGGAATTCGCTCGCGGCTGTTCATGGTAATTGTTTTCTTCCCGCTCGCGGGTGATAACGCGCGAGAAACGTGACTTTCGGTGGTTCCTCGGGCGCGACGCGATCCGCGCCTTCTGGAAAGGATCCTCTTCGGGTGGTAGAATCGATCATCATCGCTCGCGCACGCGCACATACGATTTTTCCTTAGAATCCTGCCTAAAACCGCGTAAACTCGCTGTTGCGCTATTAATTCTCACCTCCTCACTCCCCCCTCTTCCTCGGGTTCGCAGGGTAAGCAGGGTAAGATGAAGGAGATGTATCAGCAGGCGGTAGCCGGAAGTGACCGCGTCACCAAGATAAATGCGGCGGAGGAGATTCAGCACTCGACCCACGCTCGCTCCATCAAGGAGAGATTCGAGCGGGGCGAGCCGATCGCCGCCTCGGACGACGAAACCGACAACAGCAAGCCGAAGCCGGAGAAAGCCGACGAGGAGGTGATCGCAGCAGGTACGAATCCGCAGCGAGCGCGGCTAACTCGCGAGTCGAAGTTTGGGGCTAAGATTGATCGGCGGCTAACGGCGAATGAGCACGCGGGATCATTCGGAGGCGATACATACGCCGCGCAAATTTCGGAAACGTGAGAAGAAACTCTGCGCTAATCTCGGGATCATTCACCGCGAAATTTCATCCGCGGGGCGAAAAGCCGCGGGAGATTCGCGGGCAGCTCGCGGATCGAAATTTCAGGCGGCGAACGACGTGCGCGATGATTCACAGCGCGGAGAAATTTCTGAATCACCTGCGGAAATGCGAGACTGTCTAGAAACGATGCGAGTAGCTACTGCAAAATTTCCATCGCGATGGAAAAAAAATACTGTATGCGAGACCTTATCGTCGTGATATCAGTAAGTATCGCAAGAAGCGGAGCAATTAAGCGGTTGTTGAATGTAAAAAGTGCGACAATTTTTAACGATGACTCTCGGTTATAAACGTGCACACAGTGGATCTTGAAGAAGCTTTCAAGAGGAACCTGGAAGAAAGCAACCTAGTATTGACCGCTAATACGCGGTAAAAAACTCTCCACAGAGTGGAGAATTGTGTTACCAGATCAGATTAATATTCAGCCGCCTTTTGAGAGGCTTTTTTCGGTCCTTGACAGAGATAGATCATTATAACGTGTCGAACGCGCCGCGGCAGGGTGAAAGTCACCGCTGCGGCGGCGGCGGCGGCGGCGGCGGCGGCGATGCTAATTGACATTTTCAAGTCGCACGTGATTTATGGCAATGTATGTTGGTCACGCTGTGCACACAGGTATCAGCAGGAAATCGCGATCGCTCTTTTTGGAGTTGGACGCCTCTGCAGCGAAGACGGGACGTCCAGTGACGCCGGTGCACCCGAAGACGCCGACCGAGACCTCGCGGCGCGCACGAGACGTAAGTTCGACTTTTCTCGCATTATTCGACCGAAGTCGGCGAAGTCGCGTTCGCGTCTTTCGAGATAACGCGTCGTCGAGGCACTTGCTCGCGAAGATTGCTACATTATAAATTGCGAAATTGCGGAAATGACAGCGGAAAGATTGCTCCTAGAGTCCTCGTTGTAAAGTCAGTAAAGTTCCTTGGCTATATATATATATTCATTCGAGAGAGAAAAAGAAAGGAAATGTTGGAATTGACTCGATCGAGTTTCTATCGCGGACGGTGTGTGATGATCCCTTTCGTCAGAAATTACATCACGCGAGTTGTTACGTCATACGTAATTCAGTGAAAAAGATTCGGAGATTCGAGTCTGTTGACGAATAAGAGCTAGCGAGCGCGTGAGAAGGTTCTCACAGAGCGCAAACTTCAGTCGCGCCTCACTAACGATAATCCACGAAATATTTGCGAGAAAAGGCATTCATGGCTCGTCAAGTCTCAGACGACGTGGTGCGCAGCTCGGACACGACCGAGGAGGTCCACGTAGAAACGTCCGACATTTCGAACAAGTTCAAATTTTTCGAGTCCTACAAGGAGCCGGAGAAACAGCGGAAGCAGTTTCGCATTACGCCGCCGCGCGACGGCCAAGTCAAGGTTCGGTCTCCCGCAACTTTGTGCTGCCGTTGAGTGATTGACGTTAAATCTGTGTTAATCTGATCTAACAAGCGTGAGATTGACTAATTGAACTTGACTTGCCTTCGGATTGACGAAGAACGCGCGCGGCTTTTTCAGAGCAGAGCCTATCTCGCCTAGCGCTGAATTTAAGGAGACCGCGAAACGCGAGCGAGATCTACTCTCGGTGGATCTACTCGCTGGCCAAGCGAAAAGTTGATCTCAACTTTCGGCGAGATACATTCGAGATAGCGCATCCTTCTCTCCGCCTCGCTCTCTGCATGCTTTGCTTTCCGTCGTCCTTCGGGCGACGCAACGTCTTCTCGTATCAGCGGCCGACGCTCGTGATAAAGCCCCGCGCAATTATCGCGGTGAGAGAAACGCGACGATGTAAAGATCATATCTGTGAAAAAAAACACCAACGGCGAAGACGTTGACGCGTTTAAGACTGAACTCGCGTCGCGTCGCGTCGCGTCTGTTGTTTTCCCGAGAAACGCTCGGCGTGATTTCATTTACAATTAAGATAGGAGAAACGCTCGCGGAGCCAACCGCCAACGCTTGCTCGTTTCACGTTGCATCACCTGCCTTTAACCACTTGCAGTTTCATGGAGTGACGTGTTTGGTTTCTTTGAGATCCATGCACTAACTTGTGCTTGCAATCTCCCCTCCCCACACTTCGCGAGTTCCCTGAAATAACGATTAATCGGCCGCTAACACACGTCGAATGACAAAGTTTCGCTAGAAATTGAGCTTTGCTTGGGAATCTATTCCAAGCACGTCGGAAAATCCATCGGCTATCTGGGTCGTTCCGATTCAGGCCAGACACGAGCAGCGACACAATTTTCAGTCGGAGTTCGTTTCTCCCGGCGATTTTTCTCCCGAAGCCAACCCGAACGCCAGCGAGTCATGACAAGTGGAGCAACCCCCGACTCCCCCCGCCACTCTCTCATCGCAGTTATCTCATAACGTTTTAGCGCGAACAACTCGTTTGACCTTGTCCCGCGCGGCTGTCCCAGCCACGACGAGCGTCGTCCGAAAGAGAACATTTTCGAACGGTACCTCCCGACAGGGCGTCTTCCTCGTGGTGGGATAGGGGGGACTCCACCTGCACGAAAGGAGTCCCCGAGGGTAGCCCACCTTCCCGACGCTTCGAGGCCTCGAGTTCCAGCCCGGTTCAAACACAACAAAATTATCCCAGAAAACAGTGAGCTTCCCGTCCCCTCTTCCGCCCCGCCACGCCTCATCCTAGGCACCTGCCTCGTTGTGGTACCTCGGCTCGGCTCGGTGTGGAACGTATGTTTGTCGAATAATTATCGAGACGCGATAACGAGTCCGCGCTCGCGCTCGCGCTCGCGCTCGCGCCCGCTCTCGCAGCTTATAAAAGCCGGCGTGCATCGACGGGCCGGCGGCAAATGCGCCACGGAGCGCACACACAGTGGCAGAGAGTCGATTCCAACAAACCGGGCTGTCCTTGAACCCCTCCGGAGTGGTCAGCGCAGCAGCCATACTTTTACCGTTAGTATTCCTACATCCTTCCATTCGTGAAGAGCGAGCGAGCGAGCGAGCCTGCGTGCGTGCGTGCGTGCGTGCGTGCATGCGTGCGTGCGTGCGTACATGCGTGCGTACATGCGTGCGTGCGTGCGAGTGAGCGAGCGAACGAGCGAGCAGGCCGGGCCGGGCCCCGGGGAACTTAACTGAAGGAAGGCGCGCACACACCACCGTGCACCGGGCATGTCGGGGCCCTCCCAGTAACTCACACACTGAGGGGAGGAGGTTCTCCCGTATCCTCTCCTCGTGTGAACGGCATAGCAACCGCCGAACCAGCAACAACCGGCTGTCGCGCCGCATATACGAACTTCTCACACGGGAAAGAGGAGAGTCCCTCGTGAGACAGACAGAGAAGGAGAGTGAGAGAGAGAGAGAGAGAGAGAGAGTGAGAGAGAGAGAGAGAGAGAGAGAGAGAGAGAGAGAGAGAGTGCGCGTCCGTGGAGTGGCGGAACACGGGGTTCGAGTTCAGTTTGAGTGACGACGCGTCTCGATCCGTTCGCCGAGCGACGCCGAGGAGCGGCCCTAAAATATAAGCGCTAAGTAAAAGGTAATTAGCTCTGCGTCCACCGGTGTTCGCGTCTTCACTTCGCTGGGTCCACGTCGTCGTGCCTAGTCGCGGATTGTAGATTCCATTTTTCGCGGTAGTTCTCCCTTCTCTCTCTCTCTCTCTCTCTCTCTCTCTCTCTCTCTCTCGCTCTCTCTCTCTCTCTCTCTTCCGGCGTGCCGCTGTTGCTCGCGAGTTCTCCGATCGCCGCTTGAGTGATGCGCCTCGGTGCGGAGTTTACGGAGGCGACTCGTTTTTTCTCTCTTTCTCTTTTTCTCTAGGCTGATGGTTAATTAACGAGCACTTCGGTTAATAATCGCGAGCGCGATTACCACGCGAACTGTGATCGGCATTCGATACTCGCTTCGACCGAGGGGCTTATTTGGTGTCTGAGTGATGCTGGCGCCTTGATCCGCTAAAAAGTGACGCGGGGGAGCGTCTTACATCGGAAGGTAATCAACCGACTCGCGCGTCGTCGGCGAGGTGGAATTCCTCGTGATTCGCGCCTTGCAGCGTTTATTTGCTCACTTGTTCGATCAGCGAATAATGACATAAAACAGCGTCGGGATCTCTTCGGCCGCGGCTTCCCGCGCGATCGTCGAGGGGATGGGGGATGGGGGGGGCGGGCGGGATACACTTGGACGCGCTCGAAGAAGTTGTGAAAATTAGAAAAGCGAGACTTTCGAATTAGAAAGAGCTGCGCGCAAGTGCTGGGGAAGGAGGAGGGTCGATTAACGCGCGCAAACGAAACGGCGGAAGATCCTGCCACGAAACCGTTCTCGCGCCAACTTTGCCGGCCGCGTTCTTTTCGCGCGCGCGACCATAAAAATGTTTCCGCTTATGGCGACCGCGAAGGAAGGCGCTTATGACGTCGCTCGGGGCGCAATCTCGCCGCGGCTTGATTTGCCGCTTGACTCGCCGGCCGGCCGGTTGAGGGCTACCATAGCGTGTGATCAAATATCCTTTCTGGACTGGTGATTTTGCGGAATTCCGCTGCAAGTGCGCTCTCGTAACGCTCCTCTCTTTCTCTTTCTCTCTCTCTCTCTCTCTGTCTCTCGACACACCGTTTAACTCCGGCGCGAAGTCCGAGGCACGATTGCGGCGAAAAAAGCTACACGCGTCGCGTGCGTCCCCGCATTGCGCTTTTTTCTTCGCTTTACCGTAATCCAATACGCCTCGTATCTCTCGTTAACCGCTAATAAGTGTCTGCCTCTCTCTCTCTCTCTCTCTCTCTCTCTTTCATTTCAATCGCGCGTCGATCAATCGATCGTGATTGATGTATATAGAGCTGGATTAACAGATTAGGTCGAGGACTTTTTCGAGCTCAGTCGTCCGACTTTCGAGGAATTTCCTCGATTTCGAATAACGCGAGAACGACCCTTTCACGTGACTCGATAGAAATATCGCCAAACGATCATTGATCTTCCATTTCGCCCGGCTCTCTCTCGACTGAAAGCCTCCGCTGAATTAATTTAAATTTAACATCCATTCGGCGTGTCTTGGCGCTATAGACACTCATTCAGAGTTACCTTCCATCCATATCCCACTGGCTCTTAAACGCGTATAAGTGATTAATTGGACGATACGACTAATGATCAAAGTATAATCGCGCGCGCAGCAGCAGCGGTCTGTTTTCACTCCGTTTTATTATGTTCCATGTAAAATTATGTGTAGACCACACTGGTGTTCTAATTCTAATTAATTTAATTACTTCCTCCCGACTGCAGCGCACTTATTCCAATGACTTCTACGAGACTCCGCTTCTCACTCCGCTCTCGAGATAAACAATTCGCGCACACACGCGCGCGCGCAGACACGCATCATGCTTCTCACTCACGTGTTTCAATGAGACGTTTCAATGAGGAGCAAATCCGCCGACGAGAGCGAAAGCAAGAAACGAATAGAGATTATCGCAAGTGACGACAATTGACCGCTCCAGAGTGCGCGCACCGCTCTTGAACCTGTCAATTTGCCGTCGTTGAACGTTAACCTTGATGCGGCCCGCAAACTTTTTGCCCGGTCGACTCGTCGATTCGCCGGCGAACGCGCTCTTCTCGCCGCGCGAGTGGCCCTAAAAGTCGTCGCGACCGGAGTACCTTAAGATGCCGTAAGTTTGCTGTAACTTTCGGTCTCCCTTTCTCCGTATGCGATCGCTGAAAACGGATTTCGACTCACCCGATCCGGTCGGGTTCAGGTAGAAACGTGTGCGCGCGGGTCTGTCGAGGGCCGAACAGAATGCCAGACGAGAGCCTCGTGAGGAAAGGGTAGAAAAGAGTTCCTCCCCCCCATCCCTCGATTCGCGCGCACTTTAAAAACTCCTTGTGCCGCGCGCGCGCGCGGCCGGTACCCACACTCGATATTGTTTTGCAAGCATGTGGATGTACGTTGCACCACGTTTCTCCAGCAAAATGACATTTCCCAAGAGGCACGATCCTCTCTTCCTGAAGGCTTATATGTGTTTGTATGCGCTCACATTTCTTGTTTACTCTCGTATTTATTATCACGTGCGAGCCGAGTTTCCCTTGAGGAATGCGATTTCGACGGATAATAATTTTTTTACACGAGGGACCATTTATCATTCCGTTTTCTTCACCTTCTCATTTTAAGTTGGCTAAATTGGCGGCAGGTATTGTTAATTTTATAATTAGTAATACTGATAATTTATACAATATTTTAGTTAATATATCAGATCATCAAGCAGGTATCGTTATAGTTATATTTACTTTTATCTTTCTTTCACACGCGCGCGCAACGTGTCGCTTTTGATCGAGAGGAAAAGAATTCGTGTGCCTTCCCCGCGAGATTTATTATTGTGCCACCCACGCGCTTAGAACTCGTAGAGCTGACTCACGCCGGATACGGTTCGTAAAAAAAAAAAGAAAAAAAATGAGAGAGAGAGAGAGAGAAGAGGAAGAAAGAAAGAAAGAAAGAAAGAAAGAAAGAAAACGTCTTGGTCGTCGATCTCCGGCTTACCTGGATCTCCGACGCATGATGCATCATGGGCCAGGCATTCGGCTTAAAATTATCGCGCGACACACGACGCGTATTCTTCCCGATTGTCGTCTGTCCTTGCCGTCTTATCTACGAATTTTTCAGCAACGATCGCGCGATTGAACAAATATTGTCCAAGTACGTCATAAGTATATCCGAGCCGCAGTAATCGCGCGTTATCGGCGTTTCGGCAAACTTCCTCGAACGCCGCTTTCTGCCGTATTGATTAAAGCGAGTGCCGTAAGTGTAATTAACACGCCGGAGCCGCATACACGCGTTTTACGGATAATTGGCGCTTCGACAATTAAAACATTCTCGATCGAATAACTCGATCTCCCTGTTCCCTCCTCCCTTTCCCTTCCCCCAAATGAGAAGAAATTATTTGTTATTATTCTCTCACGTGTCACGTGAATGTAGTTGTCGGAAGATAATTTTTCAACATGAACTCGTCCAAACTTGGAGGAAATCCCCCCTCCCCCCCCCCCCCGGAGAACGACACGACATTAACGGGCAACAAAAATACAAATATATCGCGGAACTTGCCGGTCAGAGACGCACTCTCTTTTTATCGGGAGGCACACACATCTGCGAAAATAAGTGACTTTATCTGAAACGTAGTCGGCTCTGGTCTGCCGAATTTAGGAAGCAATTAAGGCGTCCCTGAGAGGAGTCGCCGCACTTGATCGAGTTTGATATATATCGCGTACATGTAATAACGATATATATATTTTTTGAATATTTTACATACATTAACAATGCGCCCGATGATCTATGACAGATGGACTCACCGGATCGCGAGATTTACCGCGATCCCGACGTGGTCAGAGCCGACGACAGGGTGGACGAGGTGGTGCATACGGACACCGCGAGGAAGATGCTGTCCATCTTCCGGCAGATGGAGGAGAACGCGTGCAAGGAGGACTTGCCGGAAGGCCCGAAGCCCTTGAAACGCTTCACACCGCCTCCCGAGGACAAGTTCGCCAAGGCGACCGCCTCGGACTCGGAAGAGGACGAGGATGAGGAAGGCGAGGAGTCCGAAGGCGACGACAGCACCGAGGAGAGAGACCCCAACTACGTCCGCGCTTCCGACAAGGTGTGTACTCGCTCACAGAATTCGTCGACAACGACGACGATGATGTTTGTTCCAACTATCGCCTGGCCGGAATCCCCTCCCCTCGTCCCTCGTCCCCTCCGAAAATTCGCCCTCCTGCTCGCGGCTTCGGCTCGTGTGTAATTTCCAACGGTCTAATTACGAAGCAAAGTGGGATACGCGATATCCTGAGAAAGGCCCGGTACGGGGCTCTCGGGGACCGGCAAAACGCGCGTGTTATTAGACATCTTTTCGCAATCGGCGGCCGCGCCAACTCTCGCCAACGGCCGATAATTCGAAAAGTAGCCCCCTTCCTCCGTTTTTCCTCACCCCGTGCGTGGCCGTGCGGGGTCCTGTGTAATTTTATACGGCACCTTCTCTCTCCGCCCGACGTGTGCTTCACGTCACACAGGTGGAGGACGAGTTCCTGAAGCAAGCGCAGAACGCGGCGCGCGCCAAGACCCTGCGCGCCAAATTCGAGCACTGGGAGGAGACCGACGGCAAAGTCAGCAATCACCATATCGCCGAGATGGAGATGGCCCAAGGCACAGGCGAGCAGTCCAGCATAGAGTCCGCGAGCAGTCTGCGAGCCCGCTTCGAGTCTCTCGGCTCGCAGACCAACGAATCTCCGCGCACGCCGAAGGTCAAAGTCAATCGATTTGTGGTGAGTAGGCCGCCTCGCCGAGCAGTCGCACACACTTAGCCCTTCCTCCGCGCGAGTCGCGAACTCGCGGCCCCACGAGATCGCTCCATCTGTCGTAACCACGTAATCACCGAACCACCATCACCTTGCCCCCCCCTCTCCCTCCCCTTGCCCGCAACTTCCGATCCGCGCGCGACTCACCCCTCGCACACACCCGCCATCGATATTTCGT